GAGGTCGTATCTACAGCCACCTACTTGTTGAATATGTGTCCTACTAAGAAGCTGGAGAAAATCACACCGGAGGTTTGGAGTGGTTTCAAACCAAGTGTGGTTCATTTGCGCATTTTTGGATCGATTGCATATCGTCATGTACCAAATCAACTTAGAAAGAAGTTGGATGATAAAGGTGAGAAGTTGATGTTTGTTGGATATCACACTACTGGTGGTTACAAGTTGTTTGATGAGAAGAATCAGAAGATCGTGATAAGCCGAGACGTGACTTTTGATGAAATCAAAAGTGCAGAAACAACAGCAAAAAATCAGCAGCATCAGTTTTTTGAAATTTCTAATCCAGAGGTGTCCGATGCCGCTGTACCAGCACCTACAGCAGCTGAAAACAATGTTGTGAATGAGGGTAGACCTGTGAGGAATAGTGGTATGCCTCAAAGACTCCGAGATTGTGAACTGTTCCGAGATACTGAAATCAACAATGATGGTGATCTTATTCATTTCGCTTTAATGGCCGAATCCGAACCGGTAAATACGGAGGAGGCATTAAGCGATCCAAAATGGATGTGTGCAATGAAGGAAGAGCTGAAATCGATTGAGAAGAACAATACGTGGGTGTTGGTTGATTTACCGAAAGGTATAAAGGTGATTGGTGTGAAATGGGTTTACAAAGTAAAAGCAAATCCGAAAGGCGAGATAATCAAGCATAAGGCTCGATTGGTAGCAAAGGGATTTTTGCAAAAGGAAGGCATAGACTTTGATTAGGTATTCGCACCGGTTGCAAGGCATGAAACCATCCGGTTAGTTGTTGCGATTACAAATAACAACAGCTGGCCGTTATATCAAATGGACGTCAAATCGGCGTTTTTTAATGGTCCATTGGATGAGGAAGTGTATGTTGGACAGCCACCTGGTTTTGTGATACAAAATCAAGAGGAAAGGGTCTACAAATTAAGGAAGGCACTCTATGGTTTGAAACAAGATCCAAGAGCTTGGAACAAACGCATATATGGTTTTCTTATCAACATTAGTTTCAAGAAGTGCGTATCCGAACACGGTGTGTATGTGAAGTCGGATAAAAGCGAAGGAGTAATCATACTTTGTCTTTATATGGACGATTTGTTGATTACGGACAGTTGTGAAAAGTACATTTCAAAGTTCAAAGAAGAGCTTATGAGGGAGTTTGAAATGAGTGATCTTGGCTCTATGAAATACTTCTTAGGCATAGAGTTCCAAAAGACAAAGTTGGGACTGCTCATGCATCAAAGAAGGTATGCAATGGAGATTTTGAAGAGGTGTGATATGGAGCATTGTAAGGCTGCCACAACACCAGCCGAGGCACGTTTACAGTTGTCCAAGAGTGAAGAAGAGCAAGATGTGGATCCTACTCAATACCGGAGATTGATAGGATCATTGTGTTATTTGTGCAATACGCGGCCAGATTTAGCATTTAGTGTCGGTATTGCAAGTAGGTTCATGGAGAGGCCAAAGGTATCACACTTGGCTGCAGTTAAGAGAATCCTTAGATATGTGAAAGGTACTCTTGGCTGTGGAATTTTATTTCCTGCATTAGACAAGGGCAGAAGTTGCGAGTTACTCGGATACACCGACTCCAATTGGTGCGGAGATAAGGAAGATCGAAAGTCTACGGCTGGTTATGTCTTTATGTTCGGCGGAGCACCAATCTCTTGGTGTTCTAAAAAGGAGCCGGTGGTTGCACTCTCTTCTTGTGAGGCAGAGTATATCGCAACGTCGTTGTGTACATGCCAAGTTGTGTGGCTTGTGAACCTGCTGCGTGAGCTGGACAGCAGTATGAGAGGAGTTGTTCTGTTGTTGGTGGACAACGTTTCGGCCATCAACCTTGCTAAGAATCCCATAGCACATGGGAGGAGCAAGCATATTGAGATGAGGTTCCATTATTTGAGGGAACTGGTGAGTTCTGGACAGTTACGTTTGGGGTACTGCGGAAGCGAAGAACAAGTTGCGGACCTGTTGACGAAAGGCGCTACGAATGATGTTTTCAAGAAGCTAGTGATGAAGTTAGGCATGAAGAATGTTGAGCATTTGAATTAAGGTGGTGTATTAGAAGTTTGGTATAATTCAAATGTGGTTTAACAGCTTCTGGAAGCATTACGTAAAACAGCTTATTTGAAAAGTTGTTTTTGGGAAGTCTGAATTTTATGCAGGAAAGGCATGTTTCGTGGCAGGAATCGATTTCCTGAAGCAAAGTTTGGTTTTTTCTGTTTCTTTTGGGCCAGCTGTTTGGTTCCAAGTTGTATGCATTGTATAAATACTTTGCTGTATTTTTTTGTGAATTAATGCCATAACAGTTTTTACCACAATTCTATTCTCTCCCTAATTCTCTCGAATTTTCATCCTCTCCATCAATTAACCAAATCCTCCATTGTTAACCATATCTTTTCACATTGATTCACAAACAAGCAAGAGGCTTGTGCCAACAATCAATGGTACCCACACCAGATGACGACAAAACTGCATCTAAGAAATGGAGAATATGAAGATTTTTTAGATATATAACTTTCTTGTGTTCTTCACTTCAATCCCAAGAACCAAAAAAGGCATACAGGGAGGAAGATGATGAGGCACAGGAGATTGTACTATACTGTGACAACATGGTGAATGATGAGTTGCAACAATCTGATTCTTCCAAGATAGTATTTTGAGGAATGTAATTCTGTTTTGTGGTTGTCACATTGCTTTGAATGTTTAACCTATTTCTATTTTGTGCAAAGATATCAACTGGAAATGACAATGAAAAGCAAAACAAAAAACAACCTTTGATTAGTAGCAAACCATAATGTATATTGAATCATATGCTATGTGATATGCCTCCTGTTTTAAAGTATTCAATATAAGGATTAAGGAATGTTTAACTCATTGTCTTGGTGCATCACATTGTTAATTTAAGATGTTTTCTCTTATCTCCAGGTCCACTAAGAAGCCACACTGTATAATAAATTGGATTCATTGATATGATGATTGATTATTCAATAGTTAATGCACCTGTACAGAAAGAGCTATCAACAGGTAATAATATTTCCACCAGGATTGTTTATTGTAACATGTCATATTGAATATGATTTTTAGGTTTCCTTATAAACTTGGGAACGTTTATGTTTTATAAATTCTACAAGAGTGTCATATTGAATTTAACAATATCATTGTAACATGTCATACTGAATATGATTTCCACCAGGATTGTTCATTGTAACATGTCATATTGAATATGATTTTTAGATTTTTAGGATTGTTCATTGTAACATAACTTGAGTGAGGAGTTTGAAATGTCAGACTTGAGAAATCTCTTATATTTCCTTGGCATCGAATTCTACAAGAGTAGTATAGGTTTGATGATGCACTAAAGAAGATATGCAGGTGAAATACTCAAGATATTTGAGATGCAAGATTGGAACGCAACTTCGACTCCAGCTAATACCAGATTGCAACTGTCGAAGGATTCAAATGAAGATGATGTCGACCCAACCCAATGTAGAAGACTTATTGGGTCACTTCGATACCTTTGTCACACAAGGTCTGACTTAGCATACAATGTAGGCATGGTAAGTAGATTCATGCAGAAGCCAGAGGTATCACACCTAGCAGTGGCGAAGAGGATACTGAGATATCTGAAAGGGACTCTCGACTATGGAATTTTGTTTCCTGCAGTTGATGAAGAAAAAGAATTCAATTTAGTGGGATATACCGACTCTAGTTGCACAACCAGCTGGGTTTGTAAAACGAGACGAAGAAAGAAAGGTGTACAGACTGCATAAAGCCATGTATGGACTTAAGCAAGTTCCAAGAGCTTGGAATAAGAAAATTGACAGTTTCTTAAGGAAAAGGAATGTGTGAAGTGTACGACTGAGCATGAAGTGTAAGTAAGAATAAGAAGTAGTGAACTGTTTATACTATGCCTCTATGTTGATGACCTGTTGATAACAAGAAGTTGCAAGAAGGAGATCGAAGACTTCAAACATAACTTGAGTGAGGAGTTTGAAATGTCAAACTTGGGAAGTTTCTCATATTTCCTTGACATCGAATTCTACAAGAGTAGTAGAGGTTTGATTATGCACCAAAGAAGATATGCAGGTGAAATACTCAAGAGATTTGAGATGCAAGATTGCAACCCAACTTCGACTCCAATTAAGACCAGATTGCAATTGCCGAAGGATTCAGATGAAGATGATATGCATGTATTATTATTGGATAACTGTGTAAATATATAACAATTAACCCAAATTTTAAATAGAATATTATGGTGCAAGTTCACCCATGTAACCCATAAGTGAGATAAGATTTAGTTTTTGTTAGATATTTAAATGACACAATCCTAACAAACTAAAAAAAAATTCTAAAAACAAAATAACAAGTACTAAATTGAAATATGAAATAAACAAATATTATTATAACTATCAGAAATCAACTCCAACAATGTTAATAAAATGCATATTCTAGGCATTAACATGGTGAAACCCTCACGGAGAAAAGCTCAAGAATTCAGTCTTTCTTTAAGGCTAGTGTTGCAATAAATTGCTAATAAAGAATTTCACATTCTCACTCAGCTTGACAACAAAGAAGTCATAATAAGAGAATACATGAAGATGGTTATTTTTTGAGAACAAAATTAATCAAATACTTAAAGTTCAATTGTTTTCATTACCTCACACCATTCAAGTCTCTATGAGAGAATGACCCATAGCAAGACTAGATCTTATTGGTCTAAGAAAATAATCTATAAGTCTTCATATGATTTGTTTTAGGAATATTTAATTATAATTTCATCAATAAATTATGTGATTTAACCTTTTAAATTCGAATAGTTATTTTTTTTTAAATGCAGGTTATCTCTAAGCCACATTAAAAGAAAACAAAAGCAAATTTGCAAACACCAATATTGACTACAAGTCTTATTTCATCATATACAAATTGTGTTTTTCCTTTTTGGGTTTGACATTTCCATTTTTCTAATATTACTATAGGATCTATGCCTTCATTTCATGAGATAACTTTCTTGCTGGAGGAACCATAGATCTAGCATATGCAAGTGGTAAAGAAAGAAACTTCTTGGTTTTGCTCACATAAGCCCTCTTAGTAAAATTGTTGTAATCATTAGCTTCTAATTCGTCCAATATCTGCCTATACAATAGCAATGCCGCCCACACCTACAACATCCACATGACTCTTTCTGTCAGATGCTAAAACGCCAGCTCGACGGTAAGAGTTTGACATGATAATCTCAAAAAACGGAGTTAGAATTCTCTTGGAGACGGTTGTAAAATGGCTATTAGAGTCATATATATCGCAAAACAATGAAATTTCAGCGACTAAGAAGGTTTTGAATAATGATATCTAATTGAATTGCTTACCGGCCATCTGCTAGCTTCATTAAGCTCCATCACTCCTTTTTCCGCCTCGTCAAAAAACATTCTCGCTCTTTTAATTTGGCTCTTCATGAAATTCCTCCACTTGTCTGTGACCTTACCAGCAAATATATCGTCGTCTGAAAGCCCTGCCAGAGCCAACTCATCTTGTGGTAGATACACCCTTCCTCTTCTAGCACTGTTGGAAAATTAAACATCTCATGAGAATGCTGAATCCAAAATGAAATGCAGGGTCATTGTTTTCATCCATTAGAGATCCAATATCACAGTGCAACTTGCACGTTGATTTAAACTTCACAGTCTATAAGTATTTTATTTTTCATAAAGTTTATGATATGAATTGAACATAAACATTGATGGTTCTGAACTTACTCCTCTCCAACGTCTCTGAGTATGTTGGTTAGCTGATTCGCAATTCCTAAGGCCAAGGCAGCATTGTATACACTCTCAGTTGTGGCTTGCGACTGCGTTGAAATTCCCATGACTGGAACACTCATTAAACCAACAGTTCCAGCAACATAGTAACAGTAGAGATATAATTCATCAAAAGTTTTGTATCTTGATTTCTTTAGATCCATTCTCATTCCTTCTATCATATCCTTAAATGGCTGCATCAACACAAACCAAAGATTAACACTGAATGTGATATATATTATATCATCACAAGAAAAGTCATTCTCGATTCATATATGATTATTGCAGTAGCAATAGAGTTTAGAGCAAGTTGAAGTCAAGTTCATCGGAGACTAATTACTAATAATCCATATTACATCATAGAGCATGTTTTAAAACAACATTAACAATGGTTTTCACATCGATATCTAGTTTCATGAAAAAAACTTGTCAATACCTGGATATCAACAGGAAATTTGGCAACCGTATCTGATAAAGCAGCATCAAGCATATCAAAAGGACGCCCTTGGAAAAGCTCTTCCAATCTTGATTCCCACCTGTCCATAGCAGCTGCTGTAATATGTGATGCATTGGGGCCATCAACAAGTTCATCTGTCCTCCTACACCACACTGAAAAAGCAGTGATATCAAACACTGATTTCTGAAGTTTAGAGTTACTCATTCAAAACTTCATGTATACAAGCCATTTAACGTATATGTGTTAGATGCTTCTCAATTCAAAAACAGTTTGATAATTACCAAAATCATAACAAAAATTACAATTGGTTGATTGTCATTTGAAAGAAATGAGTCTACAGACATAAGAAAGATATGCAAACAAAATGAGCATAATCACTCACCATATATCGCCCAGATAGCTCTTCGCCTTTCGGAAGTCATTAGAAGAGTTCCTGAGAGATAACACTCCATGTAAATAAATTGAACTCAAACCATGTCACAAAACCCAAAAATTAAATCTAAAGTTAACATCCTCACTTGAAGGAAAGATAATAGAAAGCTAACCCAAGTAAAACGTTTTAGCATATTCTGCACAAATTTCTCCACATCGATCATAGGCTTCACTCAACAAGCTCAAATTCCCAGGCAAAACAATTTCAGGTTTCACCTCAAGTTCACCAGTAGAGCTCAGCTTCCTCTTAACCAAAGAAGCCTGCTTGAGCACCACATCATAGACCTTCTGCTCAGATGATACAGCTACTTCTCCTACTGCTGCGCTTCCGAGCACATTCGTTAATAAAGGAGAGTTACTAGCACTCGCTAAACCAGACTGACCAACACATGCATACTTCATATCTGTACTCAAAGAACAAGACCTCCATCTCTTTTTCATATCATTCTTTCTTGCTCTAATTGACACAAAGTCCCTACACAAGAACCTTGACGAATCTACAAGCTTCACAACCCCAAAAGAATCAAGTAAACCAGTCGAATTGGATACCTCTAAGCTAGGGGAAGAAACAACCCGTAATAACGTCGCAGACATGACTAAACTCTTGTTTTTCGGAACCTCCTTGTTAAACTTGAGTTCCTACTTCCAACTATTCCTCAAATACGAAACCTTCCGAAAACCATTAAACTCTCTTCATAGAAAAAACCCAACTGAAAAAACACAAGCAAACCAATGCAAAAAACTTGCTTTTATCCAATAAAATCCCTTTCCAGCAAAAAGAAAGAGTTGTTCCACCAAAGCTAACTGTGATTAAACCAAAACAAACACCATGTTTAGTATTACAGTAACAAAACATCAACATAAAATTAAAAACACAAACAATAAAAATTCATCATATACAACAACAACAACAACAACAATTTAAAACCATGACAAGAAGTAACACAATGGAGATCTGAATTTCAAACAATAGACTAAAAAAAAGGAAGTTACATTAGTCACAAACAAAGTATGAAGCAACAGCTTGAGTCTGCTATGACTTAAACACTTTTAATTCATTGAACCAAAAAACAAAAACACTTGAAAATTGTGAAGTTAGTTAAGCTTATGTATATGTATTAGGACTCACAAAGCTACACGGAAATCCAACCAATACAAAAATGAGTATTGATTATGTAGAATTAGCACGAAACAAGGAAGAAAAAAGCAAACACTTTTGTAGGGTGTTATTGTTAACAAATTGGGTTGACCTACTTAGATGAGTTTGCCATTAAATGAATATAACTATGAAAACATCAACATCATGGAGCAAAAACCATATAACAATGAGCACTAAGAAAGAGTATTTTATCTGATTACCTCACAATTTGTTATGAATATGAGTATATGACCCACCAAATTCTCCACTCTTCCAGAATTTGCCTCTAATAATTGTTTTTAAATAAAATAGATTAAAATAATGTGAACCTTTTTGTAGTATTATGGAATTGGAGTGGCTCTTGAAAATTCTTGTATAATATGGGTTTTGAGGATTTTTATCTCTTGGCCAGTTTCTGGTGGAGAGTTTCACACGCTTGATGCTGAGTTTTGTAGCTTTCTCTCTGTTGTTCATAACGGGTCGGGTTGCATTGATTCGGTTGAGAAACGGACTTGTGTTTTAGAAGAGAAGCTATACAAGAAACAATTCAAAAGGTGAAAAATTAATAAGATTAAAAGAAAATTGCACACTTGTAAAAATTTATGTAAAATATTTAATTTCAAAATATTTTAAGTAATATTTTGGAATTTCTTTTATTGCCGCATGGAATAAACTTTTTTTAGAATCCTTTTTATGGAATGTTGATAAAGTCGGAGTAATTCTACCTTAATTTAAATATTCTTATTAATACTACAGTACATTAATTATAATTTACATATTCTCATTTTACATTCATGAATCAGTCCAGTAATTACTTATATAAGAAAACAATCACAACTTTCTTAATTACATATTAAAATATTTAATATTTATGGAACAGTTAGTATACCAAACATTTATATTAAAAATTTGTTCTACCTATAGAAATAATATAAATTATAACTAACTATACAAAAATTTACGTTAGTTCTAAATTTTATTTTTATGTAAATTGACCTTTTAATTTTATCAGAATGTGTTGTCAAGTTGATATTTTGTTGAAAATTAAAAAAGAAAAAAAAGTAACCAGTGACGTTGATCATACTATAGCCACTCAATTCTCATCTCTTCATTTACTTGCAGTATCCAAGAAAACCATGGGGTATCGGGTCGACCCGAACCTGTAAACATGAACCGGGCAAACCCGAGAATGACGACAGTAACGTAAAGCGCGCAACAAAAAAGGGAAATCCAACGTGGACAACACGTGGATAAAATAACCCAATCAACGAAAGATAGTGTAACCTTATCGCATGCAACAAAGCGGTGCCATAACGGTGGTTTAGAATCACCACGTGTCGTTTTATAAATGGCTTACCAATGAAATATTCGGATTTCGCTGGATCATGGGATTAGTCTTAGCAAAAGTGCGGGACCCGCAGTATTGCCCATTATAAACCTTTTGTTGGGCTTTATGGGCCCGTGTGGGCCTAGTCGGTTTATATTGCACCGTACACTACACTGCATAACACATTCATATGGACACAGCAAAATTTCCACACGTTAACTGCAGCCACTAATTTGACACGTACCCATTTTCCACTTTCTGTGGATCTCAAAGTATTTGGATTATTATTTGATTATATAAAGTTGCATTTTATTATTTTTTACTAGTCTTGATTCAGATCCCTTGCCATCTGTGATATTTTTATTTTATTTAAATGAACATGTCAATTTTGTTAACTGTTAGTACCTAATAATAACTGCCTCCTCTGTACTATTGCATTGCGTTGTGTGAAGTTCAATTTTAAATGATTAAGAATTAAGATACTTGGAGATTTCTACAATTAATTAATTAGCACAGTCCTAATGGTGGGGAGAGCTTTTGATTCAGATCTCATTAGTCTCTTAAATAATTGGAAAAGGTAGGTAAAAGTTCATGGTGTTCAGACTTGAGATTAAAAAGTTTGGTTGATTTGCGAATCATGATTAATTAAATAGTCATAGCTTGACAATGTTACTAATTTATGTTGAGGAGAGAGGAAAATGGTGCCAAAAGAGGTGAAAGTTTGTGGATACTCCAGTCTTCGTACGGGTATTTGTCGGTGTTGCGAATTAATTTAAATTTAATTATTTATTAAAAAATAAGAGTAATAAAAATTAATAAATATGAAAAATATATTTTATATTTAAAAAAATAGATTCAATACTCGTGGACACCGATTATATTTTTTATAAAAATAATTTTTAATAAATTAGTTTTAAAAAAATATCAAATAAATAAATATTAGTAACAAAGATTACTTTAAATATATTTACTTTTATTCTTTTTAATTGTAACATAATTGTAATTTTTTTACATTATTTATAAAAATATTTTGATGAACAAAAAACTTGTTCCCAAAAATAAAAGTATTTGTATCATCTATATACTTTTATTCTTACCATTTTTATAACATATTTATTTTTATCATTTAGTTTTATTAAATTAAAAATTAAATTAAAAATAATTATTTAATATTGTTGATTATAATTATTGTAGAAGCAAGCTTCGAGGCCTTTATGTTTTTGATGAAGACAAACTAGCACAAGCTTGGTACACAAGATACTTATACTACACACTCGTAGGGGTATATATTAAAGATTAAACCAGAAGCACCTTTCTTCTGAAATCTTAGCAAAAACCAAGAGACGCAAGCAAAAATGGCATTGTTCATGAAAAATTACATTGTTTAAAATTTTTCTTACTGGCTATTTTTGTTGTTACAAAATCACACTTTTTTAGAAAGGTTTTTCACTCATATAAATTGATTTCTATTTCAAAATCAAAAACAACCTTCTTGAAACAAAATTACCAAAATTACTCACTTTCTCAAAATCTGAATTTTCATTCTAAGTGTTCAAAAAAAACCAATTTTGAAAGAAGCCATTGATTAAATTTTCACACTCACACTGCTGTCTTTCACAAAGAACACTTGTGTATCTTATTTGAGTATAATTTGTTTTGAGAAGAAGATCAACCTTGCAAATTGATAACCAATTCGAGAGGAATCAAGTTTGGGAACTTGTTCCTAAACCAAAGGATAAACATATCATCGGAACAAGATGGGTGTTTAAGAACAAACTTGATGAAAATGGAATAATTGTTCGAAACAAAGTAAGATTGGTGGCTCAAGGGTACAATCAAGAGGAAAGAATTGACTTTGAGAAAACTTTTGCTCCGGTTGCAAGGTTAGAAGCCATTCATTTATTACTTGCTTATGCATGTTCAATGAATTTTCAACTTTTTCAAATGGACGTCAAAAGCGCCTTCTTGAACGGATATATAAACGAAGAAGTCTATGTCAAACAACCCCCGGGCTTTGAAGACTTCAAGCATCCTTCACATGTATATAAATTAAAGAAAGCTTTATATGGTCTAAAACAAGCACCAATGGCATGGTATGATCGTCTAAGTAGTTTCTTATGCGAAAAAGGATTTGAAAAGGGCAAGGTAGATAAGACTTTATTCATCAAAAAGATAAAGGATAATACCTTACTTGCTTAAGTATATGTGGACGACATCATCTTTGGTTCAACAAACAAGGAACTATGTGAAGAATTTGCTTCAATGATGCAAGGCGAGTTCGAAATGTCTATGATGGGAAAGATGAACTATTTCCTTGGATTACAAATCAAGCAATTAAAAGATGGAATATTTATCAACCAATTAAAGTATTGCAAAGAACTGTTAAAAAAATTTGATATGGATGAATGCAGAGCTATGTCAACACCAATGGGATCCGGACTCGCTTCCAAGCAAATCCAAAGGAGTCACATCTCACGGCAGTCAAAAGAATCATGAAATATCTCAAGGGAACTTCGAACGTCGACTTATGGTATCCGAAAGGTAGTATGTGTACTTTAATTGGTTATTCTGACGCGGATTATGCAGGCTGTAAAACTGATTGAAAAAGCACAGGTGGAACCTGTCACATCCTTGGAAACACATTAGTTTTGTGGTCGTGTAAAAAACAAGTTTGTGTTGCGCTTATTACGGTTGAAGCAGAATACATAGCGGCAGGAAGCTGTTGTGCACAAAACCTTTGGCTGAAGCAACAATTAAGCGACTACGGAATTGATCTTGGATGCATTCCTCTCCGATGCGACAACACAAGTGCGATTAACATCACGAAAAGTCCAGTCATGCACTCAAGAAGCAAGCACATCAACATTCGACATCATTTCCTCTGTGATCACGTGCTTAAAGGAGATGTCGAAGTGACCTTTGTGGATACACATAACCAACTCGCCGACATATTCACAAAACCACTCGCAAAAGAACCACTCTTCAAGATTCGACGAGAACTTGTAATTCTCGATGAAGGTGACATCTAAACTTTTCATAAATTAATGTGTGTAGTTGCTATGTTTTCAAACTTGCTTTCCTACTATTTTAAGCATTTTTCTGAAATTTCGCATGTGTTAACCGATTAAC